GAATTCCTCTTTTCTCCCAACAATGGTTCTGTTTGACTTACACCTAATTGGCTACAATCCACTTCAGTTTCTGAACTTCCAGTTATACTACTAACTTATCACATTCATTTACATAATCTTTAGTATTCCATTTTTCAATGTGTCCAATGTTGCGAAACATTAAACTGAGTATATAACCACTGAATAACGGACTTTAATTAAGGAGGTATTCTACTTTAAACTTATTCAATCTGTACTATTTCTGTAATGATGTTTAATCAATGGCTTATCTTTTTCATAATCATTAATTTATGTAACTTGTTTATATCCTGTAGTTTTTGTAGCTTCTAATTTTTTCGAAAGAAGACAGTGAAATATCGATAGTTCATTATTTTAAAAAAAATTTACTGTTCTTGGTTCACTAAAAGTTTTTGAAAGGAAACAAAGTGCATGAAACATTTTTTTGAAAAACTGTACTGATAACTTTTTTTATTCATACTGTTTTCCGTAACTTTGGTTAAGAGGAGAAGGAAAAACTGAATTTCTCGGTTACAAGTCTTGATGTGTACTAGGAAAACGAAGAATTTTGTCAGTCGGCGGAATATCTTGACATTACAAAATGTTAAAGCTCATAGTATGTCAAATCATCAACAGAAAAACCTTAATTCTATTTTGCTTTGAGTAGGAAAAGACAGAAATATAAAAAGGCTTGAATCAGTCAGCTGATAATCACTGACGTAACTATCAAGTTTTACAGTGTTAATCAAAGTTTGAGTTGTATGAGAATTTAATGCACTGAAACCTGCTAGTTAGAAATTAGTGTTCAATCTACAAAGTTCCTAGTTCACTTTAGATTTCATGATTTATCATGCCTTCCAAGAGGATATCACGTCACGTCAATGATTTAAATCCACACCGATTCTCTGCTAGTATCATCATTTTAGGAACCATTGAAAACCTGAGAGCACTGGACAGCTGTTTCTGCCTGTCATCTTCAGGGGTAAACAGCAATTCAATTTGATGATTTGTGGAGATATACTTATTGATTTGAAGTGAGTAGTCATCACGGATTGACATTATTTGATCCATTGGAATCCAATTCAGTGTCTAAACGGTAACCTGTTTGTTGTGAAATTTGAGGGTTCTTGGTCCGATCTCTGATGAGATCATGTAGACACACTGCTAAGGAGTTCATTGAACCCAGGTTTTCAATATTAATTGGTACCAGTCAGCAAATTGTTCTTAAATCAGTGTCTGATTTTTTAAGTAGCACAAACGTATGCAGATTAGGTTTGGGAATATTGCAAGGAGTTACTTGGTCGCCTTCTGCTAATCATTCTGTTGTATTCAAGATTTTTACTGTAAGTGTTTACGCTTTAGTTTCTGTTATCTATTCGAATAAGATGTCTGTGAAACATTTTACCTGTGTGACATTTTTGGATTTTAGGAGTATGTTTGTTTGTTATCACTTCAAATGTCATACTGAAGAGCAGTTCAGAAAAAATCCTCTTGAATTCAAGCTCCTTACAACTACAATGTTCACATCTTCGATTATTTCATCTCAGGCATATTATTAAAGGTGATCTAAGAATGTCAGTTACTTTTTTTCTCCACGATTTCAGATAGGAATAGTCTTTAAATAACTTGACATGTTGAATAATCAACTACATCTTTTGAAAATACTTAGGTATCCAAAGTATATTCAAGCCTGGTGTTTGAAAATATTCTGGATATTCATGAGTGATCTTCTTTATTCTAGTGTTAAATTTCATTCATTCAGAAGTACCAATCTCAGAACAATAAATTCATACGGCATCTTTAAGCTGGGCTGGGTAATAAATGTTCTGTGAACCATTCCATATATTGCGTAATCTACTCTGTTATCTTTCATAATTCCACTGTTATCATAATTACAAATACCTATGTCATCATCATGTAGTGTTTAGTTTTCGCCATGCGATGTAATTTTTCAAATATCTTATACACACAAATATATAGCTTGAGAATAAATTCGCTGAAAATAGTCTCTTCGTTGAATATCTTGTTTTTAATTTTACTCAGGAAATTATTAAACTACTGAAAAAGTGCAGGTACTCAATGACAATGAAGGAACTTCATGGGTTTCTACACTCTTCTGTTAAACTTATTTTAATGACATCTGGGATTAATTTCTTCGATTAATTTCTCTTTCGAAGTTGTATCGACAGAAATGGCTATATCAAACTGTTCTAGAATGTTGCTTAGATGAAAGTATATCTGACGTAATTCTTAAACACTGAAGCTCCTCGCATTTAACCGTATTGACGTCATCAGCTCTTGTTAAAGACAAATATATCCATCAGGAGTCATGCTTTTTATGAGTTATCCACTGATGAATGTAAACAGCTGGAGGATTATATCACTACTGGTGTAGAAAAAAAGCTGTCTTAATCAGTCAATCTTAAACATATAGATGGTTTAAAGCTTGTTTAAATGAAAAGGAAATTCCTTTCTCAAACCCTTGACAATTGAAACGCAGGCTTAAGTTCTGGACTCGAAGACTTGTAGCAGCTCATCCAAGGTTAACAAACTGCACACTCAAGTGTGATTTGAAAATTTAATCTGTTAGACTGTCAATCATAGGCCTGTACAGACACAGGAATTCTAACATTTCAAGTTTACTGTTCTCGACTGTTATCATCAGTTTACCAATTCCCTCTTATGATTTTTCATATCTCTAGTATAGTTACTGCATTATTCCTATTAAATGTGTCGGATGTTAGTTGATTCGAGGAACAAAGACTCAGTAATCGGTCTCTTTCTCCATCTAATTATCCATCCCACCCTATTGTGTGGTTGTGTGTTAATTCATGCATTGAAGCAGTCAGATGTAGAGAATATTTGTAGCTCAAGTGGATGGTCTTGGTTGTATTATGTTTGATCGTAAAGCTTTCAACATCTTTACAGACAACATCATCAGCACTAACTTCATACCGAAGAACAGCCGAATGTTCTTCTAGATTATTGATCTTATCGGGTTCTATCGTCCTATATTTAGCTAAATTCCTATGTTCCGATAGTCTTATTGACCTCGACTGGTTAGTTTGGTCTATGTACATGACCTCATAGTCATTGCATGGAATTTGTAGGTTCGATTATCTTGTTTAGTTGATTCTTTCAGTGACTTATTCCAATAGAGCATGGTTTTGAGTGAATTTTGAGTTTTAAGTACCACTGTAATTCCTGGCTAAAGTTTACGATGCTTCTCCCTTGCACTGTCACATATAATAGAAGCTTTGAACTTGTTTCTACTCATATTATCGTTATTATTCATATCCGTATTATTGTTATCATTTTTCTTCTTATGTTATTACAAATTTCTTGATCACTAGTTGTTAACGCTTCTTTTTATGTGTTGCAATTCCTTTCAAGTCTTTACAATGATTAGTAATTTTTTGCCCTATTAGTTAAATATTTGACTAAAGGTTACTGAACTGGAGTCTAGATACTTGCTAAAATGTGTCGTTTTCTTGCGGATAGTAGAAATCAAACAAAATTCAACGCAATGACTATGAGGTCAAGCATACAGATCAAACTGGCTAGTCGGGGTCAGTCAGATTAACGGAATATAGAATAAAAGAACCTAATAAGATCAATAATCTAGAACGAACCTCGGCTATTGCAATCTATGAATTAACGCACAACCATACAATAGAGTCGTTGGGATAAAGCTACTATACTTAATTTAGTGCAATATAAATAGGTGGAAAGAGACTGAGATTGATTACTGAATCTGTGTTCATCGAATAAACCAACACCCAACACATATAATAAGAATGACGTAACACCTGTACAACAGATATAGAAAACTCTACTACCGATGAAAACAAAGAATATGAGGTGATAGGACTATGAAAATCAGGTATCGAATGAGTATGATGCCATTGATATGATTATGAGCAGTAATAAATTATTCTCAGAACGTGGTCATCAAGTAAATCATATTGTATCATTGTGTCTCAGATTTGGTTTACTTCTGTCGAAATTACAAGTCTGCCTTTTCTATAAGTACCAGCAGACAGGAAACAGGAGATAGAAGGCTTCACCTCAGTTGTTTTAACTACCTCATCACGTATATAATTCCTGCCTTCTTCTGAGGTAACGCATCCATTTTGTGGGTTGGGTGACTGGAGTTAAAGATGAAGATAATATCTTCATCATTTGTAATAAACAGGAATGTTGTTCGTCTTATAAGAGCAGTCTTCGTTTTGATGTGTTTGCTCAGTCACTGGCTTGAATGTGTAGAGATTGAATATGACACAGGACTATATGTAGATTGGGGTCTGTGGAGGTGTTTATTTTCAGAGTGGTATTCATCACAGAAGGATATCAGCTGGAAGAACATTTTATCATTATTATTTATCCTTTGGGTTCCTAGTGGGACATAGGGCTTCAGTAACGCGTCTCCATTCCACTCTGTTCTCTGCAGTCCTTTCAACCTGGCTCCACGACAGCCCACAAGCTCTCATTTCTTCTTCACAAGATCTCCTCCATGTCAGCCTCAGCTAGTCCGCCCAACTCGCCGTTTCTCATCTGGGTTCCACTCGAGCGACTGGCCTGTCGACTGATGTCTCCAGTTGGCCTTCTCAGTGTATGCCCAATCCATCTTCATTTCCTTCTGCATATTGGAGGGACATTGCAAAACTGGGAAAATTGAACAGCTGTCTTTTCCTATTATGCACCCACAACCCTGCTAGGCATCAGACTTTTCACGCTTTATGGCTAACGAGTTAAAACATCCAATCACTGCGTGGGAGTTCAATGGTTGACAGTTTCCTACTTCTGTCCAATACATCACGGTTTTCAATAATTCTTGAACACGTATCAGATCGTGATGAATACTACCTTAACAGGACTAAACTGAGACAAAATAAACTCTTTAGAACTCTTCATTTCTCAAAGTTTGTGTACTTAATAGTATCAACTATGCAAAACACTAAAAATTATAGCTGAAAGTTTGAAGACAAGCTACAGAATCCTACCTCAGCTTCTGGATGATCTTGTAAAGCTTTGAGTATATCCTCCCGGGATAAGACAAATAGTTCTGCATACCCAACAGCGCGCACATCAGCTGTCCTCCTAAATGAAACAGAAATTGAAAACGATGCGGAGAGATATAAATTCCAATTGGTACGTATAAAGTATTCTACAATATTCAGTTTTCAGTAGTTATCATAGTCTTCGGTTACACATTATTCATGACAAGTTACAGGAATTTTCAATCCTGTCATTTAGAACTAATCTTATGCTTGATACGATATTACTTTGGACAGCGTTGAATCCAAAGAACCGTACAAGTTAGTGAACTGTGTTGATATGCCACTGAAAGTTAATGGTTAAATCCAAAGGCTATACTTCCTGTTATTTAATATGCTCCAAATAGATTTGTCAGTATATTTATATTTTCTTTAAACCTACGATTCACCATTTGCATACATCTTTCCTTTAGGCTGAGAAGTTACGAAAGAAATCTCTTCTGAAATACATACTATGAAGTTTTAGTTACCACATTCACGTTCTAAAGGATTTCGTCTTCAAAAATCACAATTACTCCGATGAACATAGAAATTATAGGGTCCTGCTGACTTTTTCAAAATAATCTTTTGTTCTGAGTGCTGATAGCAAACTATAAAACTTTAGCATGTTAACTAGGTTCTCTAGAGTGGGTAGTTAGTGTTTTGAAACATATTCCTGTTACTCAGAAGTTTGTATTGGCGATAAAAATGTCAGTAGAATTCAAACTACAGGTTCACAGGTTACCCAACCCGGGCTGTATTAACTGAGCCACGAGAATCAACTGATAACCAGGTTTTAACTGAACTACTTCACAGTCAGTGAGGTTACCGATGACAATACGATGACATACACATAGATTCACATGGAAGTGTGGTTGTTCAGTTGACACAGCGCCGATCCGGTGACTTAGATGTTTTTGCTTCGAATATTAGCATGACTTCGGTTGTTACCTCATGCTCACTAATTACCCAGTAACAAAATGAATTACGAAAATTGAGTGGAACGGTGGATAATTATCAAACCTTTTATCACAAATTGGCAGTCAGGATGACTTCATACAGTTTTACCATCCTATTAGCGTAAAATGTCATGTTATCACACTAGCACACTGCTAAGCTTGCTAGTTACCATTATAACCCTGATTAGTAAATTTCACTCACAAGTTTCTTTGATTGGGAGGATTGTGTTATGCCAGTTTAAGACTTATTACATGAAGCAAGCAAACAGATAAAAAAGACTGATTATATATTGTTTAGTCACTGAAGAGTAATCAGTATCAAGCATTTCCATTCTAAGGTTTGAACAAATGTTACAGATGGAATTTTCAATGTAGTCACTATGCATAGCGACAGCAAGGTTCCCAACTCGGTGAACACTTTGTAAAGTTGATCAGTAGGGTTCTGTCAACGCTTAGGATTAGACAATGTGACCAATCGATCATAAGTGTTTTAAGTGAGGTGTAACCAAGGTCAACTGAGATTCAAACGGCTCATTACTACCGCCTCAAAAAGTAGTAGCAGGTGTTACTTGTTTTGACGACCAAAGTTATGCAAGTTCCCTCCATGTTCCAGATATGCGTTCCTCATCAGTTTCAACAAGTCTAAAAAAGTTGATCTAGTAAACTTTCTTACCGATTTTTTTAAAACCATCTATTACAAATGGATGCCAATAACCTTTCTTCAATGACGGTTCACTTCAAGAAAGCAGACAGTAAATCCCAAGTTATCAACCGCCGGAGAAAAAGCCTTCCCATAGTTAGGGTTTCGTATCACCGCAAAAGGTGATGTAAAGTCCTTAATTAAATTGTAAAGGCCGTCTAATTCAGCACCTGTAAAGTACATCGATCATTGAAATGGTGTTTTGGGCATTGTAAGGGAGTAAAATCCCACACAGGGATTCACAATGGAAAGACCAGTGACATCTTTGAAGTGAAGACAGGAGTAAGACAAGGCTATCTACTATCACCGATGATCATCTTGATTGTGGTGGACTGGATCATGCAGCGAACCGTGAAGAGCGGGAAGATGATCATACGCTGAGTGGACCGATTGAAAGACCCAAGAGGAAGATTTGGATCTCGCCAACGATGATCTATGCCTAATGTCGCACAAGCTCTAAGACCTACAGGCAAAAACCAACAAGTCGACAGAAGAGGCAGCGGGAATGGAACTTCGAGTGAACTTCGAGAAGATGGAGGTGATGAAGATACCCAATCAACAACAAGCGGCAATCATGATCAACGGGAGAAACCTGAAGGAAACAGTCTCTTTCACCTATCTACATAGGCAGCATCGTTTCAAGTACAGGGGGCGGAACAGATGAGGATGTCAAAGCCAGGATCGGCGAGACAGCAAGACAGGCTTTCATCAATCTAAAACCAGTGTGGAGATCTACACCACTCAGCAGAAAGAATAACATCTGGATTTTCAACACCAACGTCGAGTCATTGCTTCTGCGTGATGGTTCAAAAACTTGGTGCGTTACGAAAAGCACTTCCAACAAACTGCGCACATATATCATCGACAGCTGGCAATTACGCTAACTTGACGCTGAAGATCAGATGGCGAGAAACAGTAAGCAACAAGGAACCTTGGCAACGAATCAACCAAGAACTTATCGCCCAATAAATAAGCAGAAGAAAGTGGAGGTGGATTGGATTGGATTAGATAATACACTGAGAAGACGGTTTGGGGACATCATGCACCAGGCTAAGCTAGGCAGTCGAGTGGAACCCAGAGGAGAAACGGTGAGTAGGGAGTGTGAGGGTGACATGGAGGAGATGGTGTGAGGAAGAAATGAAGGCTTCTGGACAGTCACTAAGCCACGTTGAGAAGATTGGAGAGAAGAGAGTGAAATGGCGATGTGCTACTGAAGCCCTAGGCTGGACTAGGAACACAAGGGATAGATAAAATAAAATAAAATAAAATCCCACACATGGTCACTCTATTTGGTAGAATGCACAGCGGCACGGTAACGTTTACTGGATGAAATTTCACGAGAGTGAATAGGATTGCGAACTATCTGTCAGTCATAATCAGGATGCGTGGGGCTTTAGTTAATTCATCTGGGCAATCAACTTCCAGCTAGTGGTTCATTGCTTCAAACAGCGCTCCATTCATCATGGTTTGAAGAGCCAGGTACTATCATCAGCCCACACACACACGAAGTGTAGCTTATCACCTACTTCTTAAGTGCACACACGGTTTCTGAGTGCATATCAATTTCGATTTTCATCTAGTAAATATAGGTTTACCATTCAGTACTTTATAAAATAAAATAATTCAGTATGAGTCAACCATAATTCAGATTTTGCCTCCACTTTTCAAACCATTAACTGATATAAGCTTATTGCTGAACAGATTGCTAATGTCACTGAATATATTTTACACGAAGAAGCATAACTTACTTGTTAACTCCATCAACATTGAGTACACCGATTTCACCAAAAAAGTCACCTGCACTCATTCTTGATAGAACTTCATTTGTTTCACTGATAAAAATGATTAGAGAATAATAGTGTTAGTATATGAGTATGGGATGGGAAAGAAAGAGTTGGATATAATAGTAACTATTTCATACGTATGACTGAAGAAAATTACTCCATATGTAATAAATCTAAAGAAAGGAGTATTCATCTTTTACAAATAACAACTAAAATAGAATGTATTCATTTATGATTAAATGTATGAAGTACGCAATACTTTCATAGTATGAAGATACTGAAAGAAAACATGGTTGTCGACACTCGTCAACAAAGTGTATTCACAACCTAGAAGAGACTAATGTCTCCTGAGAGATATGAACTCACATTAGGCATTATTAATGTTGATGTTATTGATGATAATATTCAACTACTTTGGAAGTGAGTTAAGTACAGTGATAGATCATTGGAAAGCAACCAATTTCACACTGTCTATTTTTGAGTGCTGACAGGATTATATCGATGGAACTTTGTTTCTCTGTGAACTACACAATGATATTTATGCACAGATATTGTATAAAAAAAATTATAAACTCGACTTTTGTGTATGAGTTATCTCATTCACATCCTATACGCTTTGTGTTTTGGCTAGTTACAATACAATACATTTGTTATGATTGGTTTTGAGGAGTTGAACTGAAAATGGTGAGATGTTAAAACTTTCATTTTGGTGGTTCATCGATATACTTGCCTGGATGGTATTCATTTATGAATGTGAAGAAAATCATGAAAACGCATTTAAGTTCTACTTCAAAATTCTTGGTCTGATATTTTGTTAAACTCAGTCAAAATAAGAAATTTAGTCTTTCAAGTTTGTCGAAATTATTCTATTTCAAGTTGATATACATCACGAAGAGATATTAGCTACAGAATCACTGAAAACGTGAGAGCCGTGGACAACTAACTAACTAACTAACTAACCAGCTAACTAACCAGCTAACTAACCAACTAACCAATCAACCGACTAACTAACTAACGAACTAAATAATTCACTAAATAACTAACCAACAAACTAATCGCCAAACTAACTAACCAACTAACTAACCAGCTGACTAACTAACTTCTCAGTTCATTGCTAGTAATGTTATTAAGACCAAATAATAATGAAGGGTCTTGGACAGTCCATGAAATGACAGAGAAAATAAGGGCATTAGAATCGAAATACTGAGCTACACATCTCTCTCATTATTTAAAAAACTCTAGTGAGATTTCAGCACTTTCGGAGTAGTTGCCAAGACGAAAGATTACCATCAAGAAATATGTGTTCAGTCTGCAGATTCATAGAGATTGCTTCAAGATAAGAGTTACTGAAGTTCTAATTAGAAGTTTTCATCGGTACGATAAATCTGAATGATGATAAGGTTATTCGAATATATGGTATCAATTTTCAGATACCCTAAGGCAGCTAGGAACGTAGAATTTACTCGAACGATCATTAAAAACTACTTGATTTAAATATATTCAATGTCTTTGTTTATTCTAAATCAACTTACCTTATAACCTCAAGTACACCATCTGCAATAATGAATATTTCACGGGCTATTTCACCTTTACGACAAATTAAATCCCCAGGTGTAAAAACAAGCGGTCGCATTTTCAGAACGATATCATGTAAAAACTCTGGTCTGCATTCATGAAAAATTGTAACCTGAAATGTAATTGTTTTGTTTTTTTAACGTTAGTGTTCATTATTCACTTTAATAATAATTTTTGGCACCATAGTTATATATTACTAAAGGATGCGCTGGATTCAAATATACTACCGGAACAAGCTGGCTTCAGGAAGGGATTTCCAACAAACTACAGAAATTCATCAACAACTGCCTACGCTGGCTCCTTACTGAAGATCAGCTGGCCAGAATGATGAGGATAAGCAAGAAGGAACTCACTCTGGCTGGCTGGCTGCCAACGAACCAACCAACCGAGAACCTATCGCTCAACAGATATGCAGAAGGAAGTGGAGATTGTTTGGGCATACGCTGAGAAGGCCGACTGTGGACATCACGCGCCAGGCACTCGAGTGGAACCCAGGTGGGAAGTGATGAGTTGGGCGTCCCAGCTGAGGGTGACATGGAGGAGATCGTGCGAGAAAGAAATGAGAGCTTGTAGGCTGTCGTGGAGTCAGGTTGAAAAGATCTCAGGGAACAGAGTGCAATGCGAACGTGCTACTGAAGCCCTATGCTCCATTAGGAACCCAAGGGACAAATAATAATAATAATAATAATAATAGTTTCACATTACTTTGAAACAATACAACCAATTAATTACACAATAACTTCAATTTTATAAGAAAAGACAAAAAAGCAGATTACAATGAAGAGAAAAGTTTCGTTGAGATGAAGTCATTTACCAAGCTGTAAATTCGGGAATATATATTATAGAGGGGTAGAAAATTCTAAGATTATTTCTATTCAAGCGTCAAAATATATCGAATAGCAAGCAAAATGAAGTTGCCTAATGTAAACTGGAGTCTAGAAAAAAGAAACTGAGAAACTAAATAAATATAACTATGTAATACAACATCAATTAGGAACAATCATGCAAGGGAAAAACGTGGACACTGTGGTAGAGTATTTCAGATTGTTCATTTGATATAGCACACACGTTTCCAGCAGAATTCATTGCTCGTATTCATATCAAATTAATCACATAATTGTTATCCTATTTCACTCACATCATAGTGTGTTTATGGGTCAGTGAATGGAGAGTGATAGTCGAGTTTTTCCCCGAATTACTTGTCTGAGTAGGGTCTACCATTTTATGTTTCGTTAAATGTTTGTGTTGTGCTATTCTGACTCACCTAGATTGGCTGCTTTGACCTAAATACCTAACTTCACAATCATTACTTGGTATATGAAAGATTAGGTTACTTCTCTTAATTGGCTCTAATGAATCTTCTAACCTACAAAGTTTCCGATGTACCTTCTTTGAATGGGAACACTCCAGAGGATTTGAATTCCCTCTTAGACAAGTTGTAATCATCACTAACATTACCACTCTTTCTCTTATCAGTCCTTATAAACATTTCTGTAAATTCCGGAGGATGGTCTATTAAGAATTAGTGTGCCATTGATATGTTGCATTCCCTTATTTAGGCTTTCCGACTTACAAGTCAAACTCCTAACCCGATTACTGAGGCATTTTATCAAGCCTACCTTGACAGATATCGGGTGAATTGATGTGTAATCCAAGTATCTGGGTCAGTCAGAATAGCAGAACACAAACATTAAGCTACCATAATCACACTATGATGTGAGTGAAATAGGGTGACAATTGTGAAATCCAATATAGCTGACTACGTACAGGAAGAGGAGAGATTGATCACAGAATAATTGTTGATTGAATCAACCAACGCCTAACATATGTAACATGAATGATTCCTCATCACATATTGTAGACATCTGGGAAATTTTATTACTATTGAGATGAAAGAATGAAGGACTGCTGGACCATATAAAGGAATTTTGAAAGCTGTATGATTCCTTTGATATGAATATGAGCAATTAGTTCTACTCGAAGTGTGATCCAGTAAACTATACTGTGTCACTGTGTGCTATATCAAATAAATAATCTATTATGGAATCTGTCTGGGACCATCAACGCTTTATGGTGAGCGTAGCAGAGATAAAAGTTGAACGTGCCTTCTTTGTACACAACTCTAGTTTGAAATTCTGAATGACTATAGTTTATTGGGTGAAACTGATCGGCCACTCTTGTTATGTAAGATCCAATGTCAGCGTCAGAATATTGTGAGTAATTCCATTTTATAGTGGCCAACAGTGAAATTCAAGGCGCCTATTCCATTTCATTTAGGAATCGTCAGCTAGATCTACGTGCCCGCTAGTTAATAATGTTATTCCCACTAAAACTCCATTAGGTGACTATATGGTAATCGTGACTCAGAAGCTTAGTGGATACTGCTTTTGCCTTTTAAGAAATAGACGCTAGTTTAAAGCCCTAGTAAAAGATAAAGTAACTAACTGGCTGGGAGGTATATTCAATTGATGAGTCCTGAGCCGGGAGAAATGTATGTTTTGGATTGCGCCACTAGACGGCAACCATCTTATTTCTTCAATGTTTCAAATGTTTTTTTGTTAACCTCCCTGTCTATCTATAGTTCAAACCAAGCTGATGACCAGTATATGTAGAGATAAAACAAGAAAATAGGAACCAAGGGCTGTTTGCAAAATATTTTTTAAATAAAATCGCTAAATACTTATTCAATAGAAGATTTTTGTGATGAAGTGAGTCCTTAAACTACTAGCTTAAAAAGTACTGAATAGATTTTTATGCAAATAAGATGAATAGCATTTTTCAAGAACAGTACTCGACTTTTTCGACTGATGGATGAGGTAGTTTCTGGCTGTGGAAATATATTATTATTATTTGTCTTTTGGGTTCCTAGTGGAACATAGGGATTCCGTAACACGTCACCATTTCACCTTCTTCTCTGCAGTTTTTTCGATATGGCTGGATAACTGTTCACAAGCTTTCATTTTTTCCTCACACACCATCTCCTCCATGTTAACCTTCAAACGCCCAACTCGTCGTCTCCCATGTGGGTTCCACTTGATGGCCTGGCCTGACGCGTGATGTCCCCAAAGGTCTTCTCAGTGCATTCCCATCTCATCTCCACTTTCTTCTGCATATTTGTTGGGCAATGAGTTCTTGGTCGGTTTTTTGCCAGGTCAGAGTAAGTTCCTTGTTGCTTATTCTTATTATTCTGGCCATCTGATCTGATCTTCAGTATCGAGTGAGCAAGCGTAGGCGGCAGCTTTTGATGATATATATGTGCAGTTTGTTGGATATGCTTTTCATAATGCACCAAGTCTCTCAGCCATCACACAGAAGCACTGACGTGACTGAAATTGGTGTTGAAAATTCGGATCTTGTCAACGCTTTATGCTGAGTACAGTAAATCTCCACACTGATTTCAGGTTAATGAAGGCCTGTCTTGTTGTCTTTCCGATCCTTGCTATGACGTCTTCATCTGTGCTGCCTGTTTCCTAGGTAGGTGGTTGAAAGAGAAAACTTCCTTTAGATTTCTCGAATTCGTGGTGATTGGTGCTTGTTGTTGTTGGTTGGGTAGCTTCATCACCTCCGTCTTTTCTACGTTCACCTGAAGGAATTCCCGACTTCTTTGCCTTGCCTCGTCTTTTCTGCCAATTTGTTAGTTTTTGCTTGTAGACCTTCCAGTTTGTGCGACATTAGATATATGGCTGTGGAAACAGTTAGCATATTAAACATATGGATGTTCACTGCTGAAGTTTACACAGACCTGTAGGAGTTTTTTGAGAAGTATCGTCTAAAATGGTGAATGCCAATGGTGTCTGTTAGGATTGCTTATTATTGTCATATCTATTCCACTTTATTATAGACGTACTGGTAAATATTACCCTAAATACTTTCAACTCTTGAAGAATTAATTTAATCCCCTTCGAACACCTAGTTGGCTTTAAGTACATATATGTCATTATCACGTTAAGTGAACATGTTGACAAAAGGCAGGATCTTCTGAACACGTTCAGGAGAAACCTACGTAAGTTTAGCTGGGATGTGTTTCATACTTGCCAAATATAAGACTAGTCCGCATCGGCTTTTATTCTAATGATAGGGAGTGAATTGGTGGAATGCACTCAACATTTTGCTGATCTGAGAAGCTGTATTATCTCGAATGGACTGACTTCTGTTGTAGTGGGTGTTGCTGATCAGAATGGATATATGTAATTTATATTGAAAGGGTGGTAGAAATCATTGGGAATTGCTAGCAATGGGTAAGGACTCTACCTAGAGAAATACAAGGGACAACGCAGGCGTATGAAGAGCGAATCAAAAAAGAAGCAGAAGAGAGAATGAAGCACATTTAAAAATGACGGTTTTAGTGCAAGTTGTACCATATTTAACGACTACTGTCCCACTTGTTGACATTAAAAATTCCTTCCTTCATACGTATCTTCTTGTTTCTTTCACTGTCAGGTTGCATTTGAAGAGCCTATTTAGTATTCGCTTATTTTACGCCACTAATGGCACTGCGCTGTAGTTAGCATTGGTCTTTGAAACTGGAAGATATGTAAAGGTTACAGGATTTTAACAATATATGCTTTCAAAAGAATTCCTTGTATGTAGTGTAATCATTGAAGTTGAACCGAGCAAACTAGTTGATGAAGGTAAGTCAGTCTACACCAACTGTATCTTGAGCATGGATTGCGCATGAAAACTCACCATCTTCATCAACATCAGATTTTAACCATATTGCGATTGAGTAATAGTGGCAACAGTAGACCAAGTCTCTAAATGTTGGTGTTTGTTTACTTTTCTCTGTCCTGTGATACAACTTTGTCTACTTTGATATCACTATTTCTGTATCAACTTATTCTTGGCATTTTTCTGAGGAGCAGGGTAACCTTGGCCGGCCAAATTTTTTGCTTGGTTTTAAGTTGATTTATCTTTGTCTGTTTAATGTTGACACTCAATACTTCTTCTGAAAACTCATTTTTTAATGAAAGACTAATATTTACTGGTCTTCAGAGAGTTTTGTATAGTTGATGAGTAGGATCCTATTTGAGTTAATCTCTTCTAAGGTTATCTTCAGCATTAGTTAACATTATAAAGTCAAGAATTGGAGTTTGTAACTAGAATTCTAAAACAACATTTCATACTGTTTTCTTATATGAAGTGAGGGATACATTTTCAACATATTCAGATCTCAAACCTGACAGCATGTTTTATAGATTCATATTTTAGTTGCTACCTTTCAACTATCATCATCATCAATAACAAAATAGGACCAGGCATTACTGCTTAACCGTTCGAGCTGCCACAGCTCATATCAGTACATCAAGTAGAAAGGTAGTGAGGTGCAAGATGAAGACAAGAAAATTCAGTCGAAAGAAATATAAAGTAAGAGAGGAAAGAAAGAGAGAATAACAAAATGGTAAGAATCGGTATAGTGTTAAGATGAGGATAATATGTTTGGGGATACATCTGCGCCACTGACATCAGTTCTGAGTCGTATCTCCTAGAGTCTCCAGCCACCGGTTCCCCTTGTCCCGTGGACCGCAAACACCAAGTCTGCATCGCCCTACATGGCTCAAACCAACAGTCAGAGACTTCATGTATTGGTGCCATGTTTTAGTCTGGTCACCTCGGGCCCTTTTCCAGCCTGGACCTACTTCGGCCAACATTGTGTGATGAGGCAATCGGTGACTAAGCATACGTAGTACGTGTCCCTTTCGACTAAAGTTACTAGCGAAACTTATTATTATCAAATAAATAATTGAAACTCACTTTTTTCAAAGTTTCCAAATTTACATTTAAAGCTAATTCCGTTTTAAGCTTATCTGGTAACAAGCCTATTGCATTGATATCTTGACCACCTCCTCCACAACCTCTAAAAAAGAGAAATAAATCATAAGTTAGAAATGTCTAGCATGATGGATTGGACTTCTCGATTTCGACTTGTTCCAACTTATCAAAATAGCCAAATGCATGAGCTTATTTGAGAAGTTTGAAAGTAACAATGAGATATCATCATGTACATAAAGATCATACTTCTTTCCTTTGAGATATCACCTCAGTACACTTAGCGTGTCTTTAAGGATCGATCATGAAAAACGTACCAGGCTTTACATGAGCATATCACGGTAGAGTTAGAGGGAGAATAAGGAAAGAAATTAAAATACCTACAATCCCAGTAGTTGTAAAAAGCCTCAAAAAAGGAGGCGCAGAGAAGATTAGGACAATATGAAACCATAATTTTGAGGAAGACAAGCTAAGCGGAATAGATCTCGAACCATATCCATGAGGTGCCTCATCAGTAGGCCTCACGTGAATAGCACGCAACTACTCACTTCAGACCAATAGCATAAGGCTTCTAAATTAGTACCACATCTTGACTGGAGAGTCCTTAGCTTTCTCTTTAACTTACCTTTCTCCAGTCAATACTACTATCAGAGGCAAGTCATAAGTCAGTATGTGTCAGCTACTCGAATGTATGATGATTGATGACGTAATTAGCTGAGGTAACATTCTTTTTGAGACTCTAAGAGTAGCTCTTGAATCGGACTCCCGATATCTATTCTGATCCTTGTTTAGACAAGGACCTAAGTTTCCTTACTGCTGGCACTCATTAGCAAGGCTTATCTGCGAATGTGAAAGATTTGAACAATTACCATGGTGCACTACAGTGGTCAGTTTCTTGGCTCGGTCGCTACACCACTCGGGACTATACAAAATTAAATTGCTTCCTCTTCACTGACGAACCAATTTAAGTAATCTGGTCCTACAGGGGATCAGTTGCAACCCAAATGGCTCAGTGATGACATTGCTAGTAATATCACAGGGCCACACCAGTTTGAATCTAACAAAACGCATCAGTTCCGTTCAGGCTATATCAGAAAGAAGTGGCGATAATTAAGAATGTATCTTTGCTTGCTGAGGTGTATGCTGTCAGTGGTTACAACACTAGTTTCCTCATTTTAACTGTTCATTCGTAAGACTGTACCAGACGACTACGGTTAATAACTTCAACTAACCTATACTACTCGATCAAGGCTGCTTTTAATCTAAGAAATTTAATGTTTTTTGAGACTGTGGAACATCTCACAAAAGTGCTGGCTTCTGGAGTTTGGAAAATATTATTATTACAATGTATAAGGCAAATAAAATCCCCATCCGTTTCGGTAGACAGTTACCACCCAATGAATAGTAAAGGGTAGTGAAGAATGGTATTATATTTACGCCTCATCATTGATAACTTCATTCCTGTATTCTCATATCGTGAAGGTAGAGGATCCTAGTAAAGATATAATCAGATTAAGAGTTGGTAACAAACGTTTAGTCCGTTTGGCAGATAATTTATTCGAATTGCGACCTAACATTATTCAGTCGTGTCTGCTGGATAGTTACTGGGAAATGAACAAGAATATATTGATTGGCTGGAGACAATACGCCAGAAGACCCGTTTAGTCTGCGTTTGATGCTTGTTGACACTTGTCAGTCCCCTCTGACATCTGAATCCATGTCAAACATTTCCGCTGTCAGAGACTTCACCACTAAGATATTTAGCATATGGTTAATCTCTTATAAAATTGAATTAGATACCTTGATTGGTTACTGGAGGGCAAGTATTTCTATTTTATCTGCCTCTGAATTCTGATCTAGTTCTATCAATCACTTCTTGGCTCTCCGAGCTAAAACTATGTGCATAATAATGAATTATGTGCTGTGTTTGTTCTTTAGAGTTTAGTTTCTATATTGGTCTCTAAAATGAGAGCAATGAAATTACCTGTATATTTCGCCTACAGATGGGTTCTGTGAGCTCTTTCAACCCCGTCCGCCTGTCCATGCAAGCTTTATTAATGATAATCACAGGTTTCAACACACCGGAGTTTAAAAGCGAGCCAGAGCCTGAGGCAAAAGCATTCGTGATCACCCCAGTCCCGACAGCAACTCCTTGGAGGTTGCAGATACACCCTGCTGACCGGTGTCAACAAACACAAAGGGTAGGTCAAGCAAGCTTCCTACTGATTGCCTCCATCCAAGTAATACTCACCAAAGTACACCACGATGGTGAGCCTTTTGGATTTGTTGCCACGTTGTAAAGTGATTGAGGGAAGTTACTCAGCACCAAGGACTGAAAAGCATGAACTTGGCTACCCTCTAGTGAAGAGTCAATGTAACAAAAATACTTTTTATGAGTGCTGAAATAGGACTGAGTCATAAATTGTTTACATGTATAAAGTTTTTATAGTAATTCAGGTTGAATAAATTGTATGTTATAAATTCTTTAACTTACTTTGACCACGCATAATCATACCAGCGAAGTATACGACTTTGTAAGTCTTTACTAACCGAATTTGCCCGCATATAACTTTTCGCATTATCCTATGATCAAATAAGAAAGATAGGCAAAATGAGTTATAAAGTTTGACATAAATATTCTTGAAAATGTTTCTTGGGATTTTTTTCAATCATAGGGCGGAAAAATGGAATAAGATTTTGTAATATGTTGACCAAAACGTCACGTATTTTGCAACACTTACAACCATTAAGAGGTTCATTGAAGTCAAAATAAAATTTTTTAAAATCCTAGTGTTTTGAAGTAAACATTCGCCACAAATTGAAACCAAAAATACTAACCTGAAAACGACAACCGAAAAACAAACCGAAAAGTATAGTTAGGAAACAGAGCTTGACAACACCGACAACACCAATTGAAAAATCAATTAGGTGACAATGAAGGATATTCCTCGGGTAAAGGCTTACCACAATTTCCAAGACATGGAATATTAGATGAAATAAACGACTGCGCAATTAACTAAACCAAACAACTGCTGACGAAAATCGAACTTCTTTTTCAGAAGGGACTGATTTACGCTACATGAGATGCCTCAGAATCTGAATTCTCTCTGGGAATCATGGCTGAAGAGCTAGAATTAAGTGGGAAAACTCTAACGAAAATGCAGCAAACTGAATTAAAAAGGGTCATACTCAGTTGACGTCTCTAGAATAGTAAGTATGAAAAAGAAACATTAAAAGATAGAATTTTTCTAACTCATAGCTGATATGTACTCGTGTTCAAGAAAGACTTCACCAAGAAGGCTTAACATAAAAATCGTTATCGGTCACTTGAAGCCTCTTCTATTCAAAAAATTGACAATCACACTGTCAAATCTTTACACAAACTTGTCAAAGCAGGACAAATAAAAAGTATTACTAGAAGTGAAATTAATCAAATCAACGTGGTCTTCTTCGGTTGTACAGTAAACCAAAATCTATACAAGCCAAACATTTCACCAGAGGCCTTACTTCCAGGAACCTTAGCTTAAATGTAACAATTAACACAATAGGCGATTGAAATTAAGAAAGATGAGAACAAACAAGAAGAGTGACATAGTTGATACTAACCACGGTAAGAAAACAAAGTTTACCAAGGTAGGTAGGTGCAGTTTAAAAAAAATTGTCTTTTTACCCATTCAAAGGTGGTTTTACTTCGTGCATGGCAATGGCTTCCAAAAATCTCAGAATACATCCATGACTGACTATTTCTATATAAAACTTTGAAAGCTGTTTGAATATTAGTTTTGTGACCTATTCCTATAATATTTTGTTTAGGTAATAGGTGAAAACGGTGGTCTCCCACCTGCGTTTATCACGATTTCACACTCCATTTGTTTCTGAAGGGATTTAGGTACATGTTCCCCCACCCTCATCAACTACATGACTCGATTAATCCTCCATGTGTGTGTGTAACCACAGACTCATATGTAATTTGGTAAACACAATGGGATGTGACGTAACCATTGGTGCAGTGTTTAGGTTTGTGATGAAGCATGTATTTTGTTCCTTCCACAATGATAAGACTAGCTGTGCAATATGTTTTCCAAATGGCTGATATCAGCTTACGTCTCAAAATGATACCGTTCAAATCCCCCTTGTATGACAGAGTGATATGGATGCTTTTTTTAAGAACCATGTATAGAGTTGGCTTTGGTCCTACTTGACTTCTACAACGGTTTATAAACTTCGTTAAATATCCATTTTCCATAAGTGTTTTGGTCAATGAATTTGATATCTTCTTGCATCGTATCTGGTGTACTGATAAGACAGATCCTATTGAACAGGCATTTCATTAGACCTCGATTGCACTGGACTGGACAAAATCAATGAAAATTCAAGTATTATCCTTTCTACGTAGGCTTTCTGTAAACTGACCGTCTTACTGAACTATCTTCTTGTCGATTCAGGAGTATATCTAGAAATGGCAGATGATTAAGTTTGTAGCTGAACATATCATAGAAACAAGTCCCAGAATTAATGTTTAAACAGCTTTCACAGTTATATGGAGAAAGAGTAAGCGATGCGTAATGAGATTTGCGGAAGCCATAACCATACACAAATCGAAATCACCCTTATGTGTGTACAAAACTGATTTGTTCTAACACTATATCTACCTTAATAAACGTTTTTTGAAATAGTGAAGTATATTTGTCGCTCAGGTGGATGGACATGGTTTTATTGTGTTCTCTAAGTTGACTTCATACTGAAGTTACTGCTAAAGATGTCGTCTAGAAAGACAATGTTAGCTACACGAATAAACAAACCAGCTCAGAGAACACAATACAACCAAAACTTGGTTTTCTTGCCCAAAATTAGTATTAACTATGTCACTCTTCTTGTTTGTTCTCATCCTCCTTGATTTCAATCGCCTATTGTGTTAATCGTTACATTTGTCCTCCCACTCCTCGGTTTAATATATGTTCACTTGAGACAAGTGTGTGTGTGATCAGATTGTTCGAAATGTGTATTGTGCAAATGCATCACTCACATTGTTCAGATAAAGTTCGTTATTTAATTACCTTATCTAAATTGATCAAGGGAACTAATTGTTTTGAACATTTGAATTGGCTGAACGGATCCATAAAACGAATGATTTAGAGAAAACTCACAAACTGATCAGTAACGTTATCAAAGTTAATGGATTCACAATGGAGGTGGAAATAAACAACAGACTGACCTTCTCAGACGTTTTAGTCAGTAGAAACAATAGAAGAAAACCGGTAACAAAAGTGTACGAGAAATCAACACATAAAGGTCAAATTCTTAACCAAAGTGGCAACAATCCAATAAGGGACAAAATTAATAGCTTATAGAGCTTCTTCAAAGGCGTGAAACATATTGAAGTATCACAATTCCACAGGAAAGAGAAGATCAAATAATCTCTCTCCTGAGGAAAAACGGTTATCGATATGGCTTCATCAGAAAATGTCCACCTAGATCATAGTCACATACAAAATCAACCTACTAGTCATAAAGAGCATATCGGAGATCACAACAAGATTACTCGGATAGTTTAGAGTCGGTCAGACTCATAAACCGACAAAATTTCCTCCAGACTATATTATGCAGACTGAAAGACATAACGACCGAAAAGGATAAACCAAATATCATTTACAAAATCAGCCGTAATTATTACTAGATTTGACAAAGTAGTCATTGAAACACGTAAAAGAAGCACTAACAGTTAATAATTATCCCCCATAGTTTGTTAACAAATTAATACGAACACACAAGAAACGAGATAATAACAGTAACACGAGTAGAAATAATAACGACAACACAAGCAGATAAGTTTTAAGCCTCCATTGTATTACTCAATAAGGAAGGTATAAGCTGAAACCAGTATGGAGATCTGCACTCAGCATAAAGCAGCCACAAGATCCGGATTTTTAACACCTATTCAGTCAAGTCAGTGTTTCTATTAGGTTCAGAGACCTGGCGCGTTACGAAAGGAATTTCCAAAAAACTGCAGACATTCATCAACAACTGCCTACGCTGGCTCCTTACTGAAGATCAGATGGCCAGAATAATGATGATAAGCAACAAAGAACTCTGGCTGTCTACCAATGAACCAAACAAGAACTTATCGCTCAACAAATATGCAGAAGAAAGTGGAGATTGTTTGGGCATACAGAGAAGGCCGACTGGGGATAACACGCGCCAGGCCAGCCCTCGAGTGGAGCCCAGATAGGGAAAGACGAGTTGGGCGTCTGGGGTTGCCATGGAGGTGATAGTGTGACGAAGAAATGAGAGGTTGTGGACAGTTGTAGAGCCAGGTTCGAAAGATTTCAGAGAACAGAGTGGACTTGAGACCTGCTACTGAAGCGGTATGTTCCACTAGGAACCCATGAGAGAAATGATAATAATAATAATAAATAAGGAAGGTACATCAGAAACTTTACGTAGGATCCTCAAGAAACCTGGAATTAGGGTGGCATTTAAGCTTACAAACTCACTCAGAGATAAGCTTTATCGCCTGCCTTTAGGATCCAATAGAACCAACCAAACAAACAGTTGAATCTATCAGATTCTTTGTAATGACCGTAAGGTCAAGTATATAGGTCAAACCAGTCGACTGGTCGGGGTCAGTTAGATTGGTCGAACATAGGAATTTAGCTAAATATAAAATGACAGACCCAGATAAGATCAATATTCTCGGAGGGAACTTGGCTATTGTATACATTAACACGACCATGCAATAGGATTGGTGGGATAAAATCACTCTACTTAAGTTCAGTATAATTAGGTGGAGACAGAGAGATTGATTACTGAATCATCAATTCTATACCCAACACGTAGTAGAAATGATGTAACACTTAGGCTAGAGATATGGAAAATTTTATTACCAATAAAAGCAATTGTTGAAAGTTGCATGATTACAGCGATATGATTACGAACAATGATAATTTATTCTTTAAACGTCATCAAGTAGATAAGACTGTATCACTGTATGTTATAAATCAAATAGACAAATCTAATATGGAATTAAATTCTACCACAGTGACCAAGTTTTACACCTATATTGGTCATCCTGTTTTATATTGTTGGCATGACTATCAGATGACTGTTAAACGTCAGTCTATTAACCGACAAAAAAAATTATAACCAACGACATGTTCAGAGCTTGGGCAAAGAAACAGCCAATAGGAGCAACTGTACACTCACTGATATGACAATTGAATAAAACTACCAACTTAGCAATAAATTCGTCGGAGAAGAGACTACTGAATAAGACATAGAGAAACCCTGACAACTCATATTAAGTTGAAGTCATCTTGAAAGATAATCAAAGCATCCTGAATAAACCGTTCAGCTTCAAGAGCCCAACAGAACCAAGAATGTCCACGTGAGTTGAAAATATTCTCAATCATTTCAAAATAGAAAGCACTTAAATAAATGCTAGGAGGCAACAGATAATAAATAATGCTGTCATTATAGCATCTCAGATGTTTTTATCCTGAACTTCTCCAAGGAGAAGATTACTGATATCAACATTGATACTTGAATAATCTATTACCTTGAGTGGTTAAAAACGTCAATGAGGA